ATACATATCCGGGTGGAACTGCCACCATTCCCCCAGGAATGCTTCTAGTTTAGCAGCAGTACATTTAATTCAACAAAGTAACATTTCACATAATACAACTTTTACATCCCAAATGCATGTCTAACCACATGTCATTTAATGTTCCTAAAGCACCATTCAAGGACACCATTAGTTATTTAGAATTATTGTGTTACTGACATCAACATGTTGTTATGTTTTCATATTTGTAAACAGAACTGTGATTTTTTTTTTAATGTGCACAGTATGTTTCATCTTGTTGCTAAATTAAAAAGTATTTTTCATCGTTTGTACAATAACAGATATATAAATAATTTACCTTACATTATTTTCAATTTCTTAGATGGATTCATGACTATCAGGAAGCCTGCATTGATAAAGTTGAACGATTTCTGCACTGTCAAGAAAACATGGGCCAGCTTGGTGCAGTAGCGTCTATTATACGTAGCGGTAATAGCAGTATCCACGGTGGAAGTACGCGAAAAGAGAGCAGTACCGGAAGTGCAAGTGGCGAATCATAATCACCATAGTTTACAGGAATATATTTTAGTAGTCTTGAAATGTATGTGTTAGTAAAATATTTGTCTTGTATTATATTAAGCTTGGGGATGTTTGCAATAAACTACATTTTTACAAATGCAAGGAGTACTTACTGCTACCAGACCCCTCCCTGGTCCATCGGATGGTGTACAATAGCTTGTTGGTCAGACTCTCAGCCATGTTATTAGTTTAAACAACCACTGTACATTCCTCTTTTGTCCTTGTGCAATGGCACTTTGTCTACAAGTGCCGCTCTCCACCTAAGAGTATAATGTACCAGAATATTTTTGGAAGGTAAAAGAGACTTGTGAGGGAGAAGTAGCGAAATCCCCCTCCCACCCACGCCAAAGAATGAGAGATGAACACTCCTGCATGTAATCTTAGAGCTCTGTTTTGACTTTACATCAAAGACTGTGGTGGGGGTGGTGCCAGGATTTGCCCAACGGGGTGGCCGAGGTCTCCGACAAGGAGGAAGATTTCCCCGACGATTGCAAAGTGGGCGTGGTTAAGTGTCACTTAAAATGTTTCAAATGCGGTCTAGGGGGCGGATGCCCCGGAAAATTGGACAATTTAGGGGTTTCAAAGGCTAAATTAATCGATTTTAGAGTCTACTAATGTACAAAATACATATAATTTTTTTTTCTTCTCCCCGAAAAATTGTGGTTTTCTCTCTGACAGGGGCCCTGGCCTCCCACCCCCGGTTGGTGCCACCCCACAATGATTCTATGTGTAGGAATACTCACCTGAAATGGAGGGGTCTAGCCAAATGGGATCCAGAGTGTCGGGAGATAATAATTTTTAAGTGCTTCAGAACTTAGGATTTTAAAAGGGCTCATTTTTTTAAAAATTTAATTTCAATGATACTTTTTGGTTTTGATAACACATCTACACAGTTTGCTCTACTAACATCCATATACTAAATTGTAGTACATCGATGAAATGTTGATACACTTAGTAAGTTCTGTTATTGAAATTATATTTATTTATTGTAGGTGCTTTTAATTGTAGGTGCTTTTTAACTTAATATAAAGCGTGGATATTGATAATGTGTGATCAACCAAACTTTTGGCAAAACTTAATATAAATAATTTTGGATTGTTTCAAATGATTAGATTGCATCAAATGATTATATAAATAGGATCTCAAAATCAATTGTAAAATACAGTTAGAGATTAAAACTTACTAAAATTCATAATTCCTAATCCATACCAAGGTTAAATTTCATTTAAGGAAATGAATATAACATTTATTTTTAATGCAAATGTATATGACATGGAAAATACATAAATTAGATATACCATTTTAGGTACTTTGATTAATTTTTAACCAAAAGGACAAGATACTGTGGTGTTACCTTTTACTAAAATGTTTAATGCAATATAATTATAGTGTGTTACTGTTCCTGTGTGAAAAGTTGGTTAGTGAAATTTATTGGATGGTGAAACTATGGTTTTGTGGCTGAGGTGCATGCACTCACATCACAAGGTCATGGGTTCAAATCCTATAATATTACCAAGATTGTTTGGTTAGACATTTAAAACAATTTCACTCCCTAAGCCTCAGTATATTTTTTGAGCATCACATATTCCAATTTGTCATTTGTGACTGTCACTTTTGGATGAAATTTAAAGAGATAAATTAATGAAAGTATAGGCACCAGCATTCCATTTTAAACCCTTGATTTCTTAACATTGCAGCTAAATACTTAATTAATAAATCTTTTGTTTGACAATTGATAGGGATAAATTCAGTTTGTACTTTAAATTACTGATGCTACTATTTAGAGTGTAAAGATAAAGATAATGTAGAGATTTTAGATAAGATTTATGAGAATTTGGTTTAAAAATCACAAATGTGCTATTTTATTTTTTCAAGTGCTAAACAGCTACGCTCAATTGCCGAAGCTCAAGTTAGATATGAATACTATTAGTGTGCAACTTGTTTAATATTTTAATTTGATATTCTCTATGTTAACTTAATGAATATTTTACTCTCATCAAACAATTCAAATTTTATGATAACTAATGTAAAGCAATACCGTAAAACCTTGAATTGAAGCCCAGTGGGCTTAATCTCGAGATGAAGCCCATCTCGAATTGAAGCCCTCCTTTTTAGTTTGCAAAATTAGCCTCGAAAAGAAGCCCATCTCGAAAAGAAGTCCATGGGTTTCTTTTCAAGATAGCATAGTCTTCTTTTCGAGATAGTACAGTACATACACTGTACATTAATTTCAAAAACAACAAAATAAATTAAATCAAGCTTGGTTTATGGAGAAGTTTAGGTGATTTAATGCCAGTTAATTACACTCCATGATACAGACTGATGTTACAGTTGGCCTTATTCACAAAATTTACAGCATTCATTTTGAAATGAAGCCCCCCTCTTCACTTTACAAAAGTAGCCTCAAAAAGAAGCCCATCCAAAGTTCGCAAAAAGAAGCTAAGGGCTTTAATTCGAGGTTTTACAGTATATGAGTATCTGAAAGTTTAATAAGAAAATGGATTGCAGTTGTATAATGACACTGGCAGATGAATCATATTATTTATTAATAAATAATGTATCACTGGCATGTCATGTGATGTTTGAAGCTTGTTGTTTTTGGAAACTTTATCAGTATTCCCAGCGTATTATTTTTTTATATATCTATGAATTAAATTTAAATCAATTAATTTTAAATTATTTAATTCAAGTTACAATTCATTGGAAGAAAATTAATTCATTTCTTTACTCCAGAAACAGAATCATGAAACATAAAACATCCATTTAAACAGTGTGCTACAAAAATGTGTTAAATGATGGTGCTGTATTATATTAACTCCACCTGTATTATGACACCTGTGTATTATAATATGATATAATTTTAATGCAATACCAGAATAACTTCCATGCAACAAGTATTACATTTTCTTTTAAGACTAATTTACAAATAAGGTTTAAATATTGATTTATGTTCATGAACACTTAAACGTTTATGCTATGAGATGTGTGCCTTGTTGAACATTATAGGTATGTTTCTAATCTTGTAACCACTGATTATTTTAAAGCCAGGCTCCTGAGGAAAAAGATTATGCATATTTGAAAAGTGGGGAGAAAAGGGCATAACCACTCCTTTTTCCACTTTCCTCCCCCAGTTTTTTTGAATTTTTTAAAAATCCCCTTTTAAAAAAAACAGTTGTACTACATATCAAAATTGATTTTCCCTCCAGAGTCTGGCTTGGTGTGTAGCATCTAAGGTGTTTATTATCATGCTTAACATATATTATGATAGTTGTATGACATTCATATAGAATATCTACCTTTTCTCTTGTACTTTTAAGATTTATTAACTGGACAAGATACACACATGCTGCAGAGCTTGAAATCAGCATTTCCAAATACTGTTACACAAGCCTTCAAAGGATTTACTCATTTCTTCCTGAAAAATGGTCTTTATCTTTCTTCATTTTCTTCCTTTCTTCTCCTTATTTTGTTTTTTTTCTTCCTTGATGCAATAAGAACATTTTACCTGCTTGTTATTTCAATTTATTGCTTTTTATGATATTAATTTATTAACTATTTAATAGCAATGCAGTAATGATTAAAATACATACAAATATATGAATCTTTTTCTTTAATAACATTCCTATTTTAATTGTTGCTACTTTTTTCAAAGTCTGCTGTACCAAAATCCCAATGAATATAAACCACTGTAATTGGCCTTTTTTGTGGTGATCCTGAACTAAATCAGCTATAGTAGCTATCTATCCATCATCAATATTTTATATATGTATGTATTTCTGTTTGGAATTCTCATTATTATTTCATATATAAATAAATGCTTCATTGAATGCCTTCAATTTTCAAAGTTTTTCAAAGTTGAAAATTATGCAATACACGTCACACTTGCATACATGCATGCTGTAGGCCTATCTGTGCATTCTGCTTGTTTGCTGTTTTTTTGTACTGAAATTTTTAAAATGCAATAAAATAACGTATGCTATATTACATTATTGATTTAACTCCTTATTAGGAATAGTAAAAAGTTATTCAAAGTATCCTGGATTTATGATAGCTACCACAGATGTAATTATAAATCATGTTTCCACCAGAATGAAATTGTCCTGCATTACTATATCACGTTATTGTTGATGGGTAATTGATCATGTGTTAATTGAACACATTAGTAATCACTCACTCTGCTATGTACATTGTACAGTAAACAGTAATGCTTTGAATACTATTAATCGCATCTGTTAGTGAACTTTATTTTGTGTAAACTTTCGCTATACTCTAAACTACACAATAAAATAACGACATTGACGGAAATATACATTTTGGTCAAGGAAGAGTTATTTTTATTTTCCCCAGTAAATTGCAGATGTGCATTTTGGGCATATAAACCATGAATAAACTTTCATTCCTTTGACAATTGTAATTTAATAACAGAAAAATACTACCACTGTTGAACGAAAAAGCAGTGGTGCCATGATCATGCATGTGGCGGACGTATGTAACAAGGTAACAATTCGGATTCTAGGCCAGCCCTCAGTTGAAATAATTTATTTTATCGAGCTTTTCAGTTTTGTTTTTAGAAATAAACTGTAAAAGAAGCAGGGACTCAACAGATTTTATTTCTGGCGCGTGTTAAAACAATCAAACTGTCCAAACGTACCCTAGAGGTGCCATAATCATAAATTTTCTTACCTCAGCCCCAACCATGATGGGACTGAGGTAGTATTACATCCTGTCTGAAAACGTACTTATCGGGGCCCCCTCTATTTCGAATCAATGGATCATCATTCCTCCATATAAAAATTAAACATTCAGCACACAATATCAAGTCTTATGTACTTTAAGTAAATAAAAATCGATATTTATGTGCTACTCGCTTATCAATTCTGAAACTGCTTTGCCCCCACCCCCGTTTCGAAAAATTCTGGATCCTCCCCTGATTTTGGTATGACAATATGCCTTGGGTCGCCACAGAAAACGGTGCATTCTGAAAGTGGATGCCACGCTAGTGGTTTGTGCATTTGGCGTTCCATATCTTCTAACTGCTTCAACACAACTATTGGGAGATTTTACATGTCGGAGTCCCCATTACACCAGTCTACCTTGATTGTTTAATACAGTATCACATTCACAAAGGAGTATTTTGAACTCTCGCCAGTATTTAAACGAGGTGGTTTTTTTTCTCGTTTACTAAGTAAGTAAAGTAAGAATTAGGCCTATTTACATGACCATTGTCAACCAAGCAGGAGTGGTGGGCGGGCCAGGGCCTGCCAGGTAGAGGTAAGTGACAGATGATGGGCGATTGTCACCCAGTCCAACAAACGGAATTCACTTCAACAGGTCGATGCCTACCCATGTTTCATTTTTTCCCCCGACAGATTAGTTTACCGTGGCCCTCTGACGGCTAAGCCAGGCCTTCTGGACAGATTAGAGGTGGCGTCACCCCTATGATCAATGCAATAGAATAGTTTCGGTGTCACGTAGGTTACGACAAGCATTAAAAAATGGATAGGAATTGAAGGGAATTCGTTATCGATTAGCTTCAAGCGGTTGTGGTTGTGAATGGGCGGCCATTTGAGCCAATATCATCATCATCAGCAATATTCTGCCAAAGCCATTAATTATCATACCGTACTCCCTCGAATAAGCGCCCCTCGTAAAGTGAAGATGTTGTTAAGCACCCTGTTTGAATAGGTCCTAACCCCCCCCCCCCCTTTAAAAAAAATAATAAATTGAAAATATACCTACCTTTTCAGGTTCAGGACCCATGAGCTGATTTTATTTTTATTTTTTTTGTTACAATGGGAAAATTAGAAGTCAGGAAAGCTCATTTCCTGCCATCTAGAGATCAAATTCCGGACCCCCTTAATTCCCTTTGGGCTTTATCGATTCATGGAAAAAAAAGAATACGTTTAATACTGTATGCAACGTACTACTCATTTTTTTTTCTGTGTATACCGGTACACACATAATAGACCTATTTACTGTAATAAGAATGAGAAAGTTTACCTGACCGTTTTCAAGAGGGGAAAGCCTTGTCATTAAGACACCTCGGAAGTCTGGAAACCTCATTTCCCGCCATCTAGGAAGATTTTTGTGAAACAATGTGACCCCCTCCCCCCAAATGTGAACCCAGATCCACCCCTGCCAGAGATAAATGCCCTGCAAAAGATATTACCTGTAATAAGTGTAAAATAAAGCATGTTGCAAGATGGTGTAGGTCAGCAGGTGCTACAGTAGTAGCAGATGTTTTCCTAGGAGAAGTGAGTCGAATGGCCGAGCGGTTAGCAGGGGCGCCGCAAGCTATAGCCATAATATCGGCGCTGGTTCGAACGGCACGCTCGCCTATGGTTCTGGTGGTAGAACAAGTCTTCTAGGATAAGGACTATAAACCGTAGGCCCAGTATATACAATGGCTTGTGTGCACTATAAAGAACCCAGTACATCCTTCGAGACGAGTAGGGGGATACCCCGGTGTACTGGAACAGACAGCCCCTGTGGTGGACGACGAGAGTTGCTGGTACCGGGTTACCGGATAGCACAGACACGAAGGGACCCTTAGGGGCGAAGAAAGTCATTGATCGAGTTCATAGTCCACATGTCAAGCGCCCTGAGCATCTTACATTAGATGGATTTGTGCGCTTTATAAAACTACATTATTATTATTATTATTAAATTCATATAGTATTGATACTGTTACAGGGGAAGACCCATATTTACTAATAAAATAATGATTATAATATCAACTTGAAGATTGATGCAGGAGCCGATGTTATGGGGATTCCATATGAGTTTTAAAAAATTTATGTCTGTGGTACTTAAAGGTCAACCAAACAAAACATCTATGTTGTTAAAGGGGTAAGAAAATCAATAATGTAAACACAATACCAGCAAATATTACTAATGAGTAGAGTACAACTACCCAACATTGGTATCTACAAAAGAAGGTGGTACAAAGCATACAAGCACCCAGCAAGACGTTAGCAAGAAACACTCTGGTTGTTTGCTGAAACTTGTAATGAAAGCTACACACAATTTAAGGTGAGCAAAAGAAAATTAAGTGAATATCTCATCACTATTCAGCCAGAGTACATGAAACAAATATATTGGAATGGTAAAAAAATATCGGCATGGTGTGTCAGTTTTATTAAGAAAGAACAATATTACATTACACACTAGCAGACAGGAAGGCTTCAATCAAGTAATTAAAAAATCTGAAAATACTGTCAATTGATGAATGTCTTTCCAGATTAGTACATACAGTATCTCAGTATGGTATGTTATCGATAAAGCAGCAAATGCCAATGTTTGATAACATTTTTGATTTTTTAACAAACCTGTTTTTGCATTATTGTAATTACTGTATACTTATTTCTCAACAGGAGCAAATGACTGGCTCCAATGGATGTGATGCAAACAGTTCCATCTGTGTGGACATGATGAAATGGACATGCCCAATCCATGGT